TATATATTTATTTATTATTAAAAATACAGCATATCTTTAATATAATTGTCAGTGCTGTGAGCACCACAAACTAAACCAATTTTTTTTTTCACCTCCTTGTTATGAGATGGGGGAAAAAATCTTAGAGATGGAATTCTCAATTATCAACTAAAGTCTTTATGACTATAGATAGTGATATTTTATAGATATTAGTTTTTTGCTTGTTTGTTAGTATTTTGAACCAACTTTCAAAGGTATAGTTTAACACTGACTAAACATAAACAAGAAGATCAATGTCACTCTCTCATCTGTGCCAATACGCAGTTATGGAAAAGGGTTAACTTGGCTAGCCCGATTATTTTACGGTAGCTGGTTTGCTATGGTAAATCCATACAAAACCTGAAAGACCACAACTTTCTGTTTATTTATACTTCAATTACTGTACACAGTTAACAAGTAATATCACTTCTGAGCTTTAGAGGTGCTAGTGGTTGAACTTTATTAACTTTGGACCTGGCCTATTTTCAGTGTTTATGCTAACCTAAACTAACATCTTGAATGACATGCTGAGTACACATCAGCATTTATGAAGGGATGGTGACAATCAACTTTTTGGTTTTTAATCCAAGCTGAAGCAACACCATCAACCTTGTATAGCAACTACAGGATAAATGTGCAGATCAATCCTGAAATATCGTTACTTCCGATCCCAACATTTCCTGTTTTAGGATTGATTCACATGTTAAAAGCTCAATATCTAAAATAAGAAGGCTAATTCAGGATGAATAGGGGACACAGTAGACAGTAACTATACTATCCAGGACAGTCAGAATTATACCTGGCTGATAGGAATTACTTCTCCTCCCATCTTCCACATTCATATGTGAACTGCTGCTCTGTAAATGTTTGAGCCACTGCAGAATAAGAAAAACTTTCAGTCTGGAGTCTCTCGGCAACAGAAGGGATGCCATATGTGGTTGCTAGGTAGAGGGAAGTAAACAAAAATCAAGGTGGCATGTAAAAGGATCCTGCATGTACTATGGACATAGTCCCACCATCAATACGCCGCCTTCCCTTCAATATCTGAGCTGCAGAAATGTCCCTTCATCATATGTGAGCAGGGTGGCATCATCTGTTGCTAATAAAAATGACAAGCCCTTATAAATACACCTTAAAGCTTATCTCCTCTTCTCCATCAGTCTTCGTTGTCTGGACCCATCACCTTGCCACGTTTTGGAATCAGTATTGGCAATACCAGCCTGGATGGCATCAGATCGGAAAGGAAACAATGGCATCGCACATCACTAACAGACACACTATGTATACATGAACCACCATACATGTAGCTTACTGTATAAAGAAACAAGGAGCCCTGTGTCTATGCCCTAACCTGCATCTGCTGTTTCAATGCTCACATTGATAATACTGACATTATCTTCTCATCTACTTCTGTTAGTCCCTCTGGAAAGCCCAGAAAGTCAACCTCAGTGTCTCTAATTTCAGACACTTAATGAGATTTTTAATTGGTGACCTTTTGAGAATGGTTTCATACCACAGCTCATGAGAGCACTCAAGGGGAGCCAACACATACCACTCAGTGCTCGTGCCAGGATCCTTCAAAACTGCCTTCAAGGGTCTGATATTTATCTTTGCCCATGTCAGACAGATAAATAGACTAGATAACTAGATAGAATAGAGGAGGATACCAAAATGTTTTGATAGTTATAGAAGTTCATATATTTGTATTTTGTTGGTGCTTTTTGAGTTGCTATGCTCCTGATTTTATGCATTATGATTATGTGAAGTCCAAGCCAAATTTCCCTTACGGGGTCAAATAAAGTATATCTGATCCTGATCATGACATTTGATTCCACCACCAGAAGCATCTGGAGATAGACCAATGCAAACACAACACTGCAATGCCACCACATCAAAAACTACCCTTATGTCAGGGCCGCTCGGCGGCCGCCGCCTCTCCTCCGTCCTTTTCTCTCGGGGCCGGAACATTAGCTATGTACTGCGCAACCTAGATTGGGGTAGAATGCTACGCTGACAGACACTGTGCGTTTTGGCTTGACACCACACTACCTGCGTGCTACACTAATTTACACTACACTACATATTATACATAACCAAGTACCATGGATAGAATGCTACGGTGACAGACACTGTGCGTTTTGGCTTGACACCACACTACCTGCACGCTACACTAATTTACACTACACTACATATTATACATAACCAAGTCAAGTACCATGTATAGAACGCTACACTGACAGACACTGTGCGTTTTGGCTTGACACCACACTACCTGCACGCTACACTAATTTACACTACACTACATATTATACATAACCAAGTCAAGTACCATGTATAGAACGCTACACTGACAGACACTGTGTGTTTTGGCTTGACTCTATCACACTACATATGCGCTACACTACCCTATATGCAGACCGTACTTTCCCATGTTATGTTCTTTTGATACTTTGTGTTCTTTTTATTTACCTGTTATCGTCATGTTTTTCCCCCTAGCACCTGGGTCTGCAAACTTGAGTCCAACCTCAGTCCTCTCTCCCCCTCCTGGTGAGGGGGGCTACCATAACACTTTACTACTCTTCAAACTTTTATCAACAAATGTGACTGGCAAAGAACAAAATCTCAATAAACAAAGCCAATCTGAGTCAAACAAAAAAGAGCAATACAGCATGTTGAAGTGTTGGTGTGGCAGAAAGAAATATATTGTTTGTAGGTGGTGTCGAGGGTTTCTTTGTGTACCAACAAGGACTTGTGGGTCACAATTTGTGGCCTCAGTTTCTTACCGTGGCGAGATGTCACATCCCTGCTGCATGAAGGCGCCCAGTGAAAACCAAAGGGAGTTGAAAATGCCAAACTCATTGGTCTGCTCGGGACTTTGTTGGGTGGTGTTCTGCTGTGCTGGTGTCTGGCCTTGTTGCACCCCATTAGTGGCTGCAGCTTGGGTAGGAGTCTGCGGCTCGCCTCCCTCCTCACCGTCCTCAGCGTGCCATTCGTATGGGCTGAACCGACTGACAAGGAAGAGGACGACGCTGACGCCGATGTAGGCAAACACTATGCACATCCAGATCTCATAAGCCAGTGGGTCCAGGAATGAGAACACCCCAGGTTTGGATTTGGTGGGTTTCTTGATCATAATGGAGATTCCAAGGGACATGAAGGGTTTGGAGAAGTCAATGACTTCTTCACGGACCAGAGTGATGGTCAGAGGAGCCACAGCCACATCTGCTTTCTGAGGAAAGAAATCAAAGACAGACAGGTGTGTAAAAAGAAGTGCACACTGAGCCTATGTCTACAGTGTAGAAGCCATGTACAGTATGCCTTTGTCAATGGTAAAAGCACAGGATTGTGCAAACCAGTTCTTGGGGGAGTCCTTTACCAAATAGCAAGAGTACCTTAAGTACCTGCTAATGACATTGCTTTAGGAATGGCAACATCAATCTTATGGCAACATCAATCTTATGTCAACATCCGCTATACACATAGTGTATAATTTCAAAATATCCAGGCAGACTATTAAATAAAATCCATTAACTCTCAGCTAGCTTTCATTAATTGTTTTTGGCTTTTACTAGTTTGCTTATTTTCTAGCTTTAAATGAAGAATAATCCAACACAACTCACCCCGTACACTAGTTCGCCCACCATGCCGTTCCACATCTTGTTATCAGGATCTCTTGCTCCATACTTGCCATCTGAGACAATCTTCAGTTTGTACTGGTAGCCCACATGCTTGGCTATCTCTGCAGCCAGCTCAACAATGTAGCCCTCATACTTATCATTTCCCACAAGCTGTTCATGGTTCTTCTTCAGCATCACATATGGAGATTCCTGTAGAGTAACCACAAGAAAAAACATGCATTTTTTCCTGCACAATTTTAGTTCAGGTATCAAAAATCATACACAGAAAGTTAGTGGACCTTTTGTAAAGTAATCAAGAATTTCACTGATGTGAAAACAAAATGTACACTGACACACCTTTCTTGTCACCAGCTGCTGTGACTGAAGGTAACACAACTTTTACAGCAAATAGTAATTAAGTCAGACAAAGCGTTATGGCTGATGATAAAGCTGTAGTATGTAGTTAAGTTTAATAATGCTGTTGTATGTGAAGGATGCAATGGATGCATTTTATGCTTCCATGCAATTCATCACACATTCACCACACCCCCTCACATTTGTAGCTCAGGCTTTGGGGAAGGAAAAAAAAAATCTTAGTGGGTCCAAAAAAATTTTTGTTGCTGTGAAAGGTTTGCAAGAAAAGATAATTACATGGAATTACAAGGTATTATTTTGGCTTTGTCTCTTGAAGCTATGGTGTGTAATTTAAACACAAAAGGTGCCTTAGTATGATCATTACAACAGCACTGCCACATTGAAAAGAATGTTGATAACATGGAGCAGGCTGTGAGGAAGCAAAGAAATTGGACTGGCTGTCTTTGCAGGTGTGTGTATGTTTGAGCCATATACTGTAGATGGCTCTGCTCCAGGGCCAGGCTATTCTTCTTGTTATGTCATTCTGACATTTGTACACCTGGCACTGATTGGGTATCCTAAGAAATAACAGCTGACACAATACCTGGGGCCTTACTCTACTGTCAGAAGAATGTATTTCATATAGAATTCCAGTCAGTCTGAACTGTCCACCAGGGCCTCAATTCCCACAAGTTGTTATGTGGGCTTGCTTTTAGCTAAGGCTGTGCTGAGCTAAGCAAATCCTGCCACCACCCTCTGGTGTGGTAGTTATCTGGGTTCTCCAGCTGTTTGTGGTTGAGGTGAAGGTAATCACTGTTACACATGAGAACCCACTGGTAAAAAAAAAACAACACCCCAGAGAGACGGTGCACAGAAATGTCTGACATGTAACACTTTGACAGGGTGTGCACTTGGACCCATAGACCCATAGACACATGTGAGTGAGCGTACGTGGCCTCCCATACATTGTTACACTTACTCTTGAACACAGATACAGAAGCACAAAGAGACATGGCAATGCATACAGAAGGTCCTCCAGCACTCAAGTCTCTTTGACTTCGAACTGCTCCAGGGAGGTCGGTTGTCACTCAGTCGGGATAAAAATAATACAAACACACATATACATGCATACACTGCAAACACATGACGTGTACATATGCACACACACTGAACGTATACTCAATTATAACATTATTGTATATAAAACAAAATGCACAAAATGAGTGTTTGATTACTTTACCATAGGTAACACTAAAAATGAACCAGTTTTGTTCCTCTGAGAACAAGTTAAACAGAGCTCAAGGGAATTTTCAAAATTACATAATTTGCTCTTCAATAATTTGCCCTATTAAAATAACTGTATTTATTTTAAAAGCTGCACACAGTAAGTGCCAGTAAAAGCCAGCTAACAGCCATCCAAATTCAACCTTAAACTTCTGGTCATGGCCTGGTTTTAGTGTAAAGCTACGACTGTAAAGGCACCAAGCTCGAGTGCTCCATTAAACCTGCTCTGCTTCGCTCCTCCACATCTGCTGTTAACCCAGGCTCAGTTTGTGTGCACAGGCTGGGACAGCAGGGTTTGTATAGGAGCATAAAATGATACATTCACGCTGGCAAAACAGCTCTCCATAAAGCAATGACTTAGTGGGCACAAAAGGTATAAGGTGTAAAAACCCTTTCTGTGACCCTGCAGCCCAATAACTGTTCACACCTTATCTTTTCTCTTAGGTTCTGAGCCAGAAAAGCAATTTATCTTCCTCGAAAAGGGGACACTGATAGGAAATAATGTCAGAGAGAGTTATTTTAGGTCTATAGTCTCAGGAGACTGCAACCTTCGAGTTTAAACTTTGTGTTTTTAATTAGATGCCAATAGACTGCATGTTAGTTTTCTTATAGTATACCTGTCCTACATCAATGTCTCCCAACCTTTTTTTTATCAAATGTTCCTTCACAGGGCCATCAGAATGCTTGTTCATTGATACCTCATGGTTCTGTATTAAATGTGTTTATCTGAACTGATGTTCAAGTGGATATTATCTACAAGTGGATATTTTCATACAGTTGTATTGTCAACATTATCTTGGTTTAATCATGTTTGCTTTTACCTCTTGGAGAGTATTGGAAGCTTCAACTATTTATCCATTTTATTGGCTAACTTTTTCAAATATTTATCCACACTTTTTAACTAACTGTTGCAGCCATTTAAGCCTACTTATTACTTGTAGGTATTACGTCTATTCATCCACTTCATTTATCTAATCATTTGAACTGTTTATCCATTTGTTTTAACTCTCTGTGTTAACCATTCACCCACTACATTTAGTTGTTTCAACTTCACTGCTCATTTAACTTACAGTATTTTATGTAATAAATACATAAATAAATATGGCTGATGATTCAGTTCAAATAACACTGTACGGCGCTTAGGTTTCCATACAGTCACACTCACGATTATTTATTCCTACTTACTGTATGCGAATCCACAAAAACTGTTTTCAAACATTTAGTTTCTTATTCAAACATTTCCTTTATTTTGTAGATTTGAGTGTGGCTAATCGCTAGTGTAGCTAACCCTAGTGAATGTCAGGGTCAACAGTAGGTCGGTCAACAAAACAGATCCAGCCTATTTCCCCATCTTGTAAAGACACAAACTGAGTTGTATTGACTTGATATTGCAATAGCTTTTTTTTTTCCGTATGTTTCATTATGCATTTTGCCACATTTTTGAATCATGATGCATTGTTACACCTCTACAATATACAGTATATCCACATTGCATTATTCAGTGATGATTAATCACACTGCCTGTCCTGTACAGACAAACACAGTAAATGGAAAAGTAGCCTAAATGAGTTGATTTTATTACATAACATAGTTCTAGCCCTTTGTTATTAATTCCAGTCAGGTAAAAACAAACTGTGTAAACTATGTAGCTCCTTTTTAATTATCTGCATTGATTGTATTAGTGTCAACGGTAGGGTTTATTTAGATTGAGCTACTCAGTATTACAGCCATTTTGGCACTAATTTGTTGATACTTGAGCAAATCTTTCTCTGTGCTGGGAGATACAGCTGCACTCAGAAATTCCCTATATCTTAATTACAACTAGGAGGCAGATATTAGCAGTTTGTCCTACTTGGTTGCTTGTAGTATTTCTGTTCTGTATGATATTACATACAGTAAATACAGCATCACCAGAAAATTCACATTGGTAATGTCACCATACAGTCATAAAAAAGTAATGGCACTGGTTGCAATTTCCTGGTTTTCTGCATAAATTGGTGATGAAGAGTGATCAGATCTTCACCAGTTCCAATTATAAACAAACACAATATTTCTAAGCTGTGTTTTATCAGCTTAGATATATCATGTTTGTTGATATTTGTGACTCTGGTGAAGATCAGATCACATTTTATGACCAATTCACAAAGAAAAGCAGGAAATTGCAAACAGTGCCATTACATTTTCTTATATGTTGTTATTCATCTGTTTCTTGCTGATGCTACAACGTAAAGTTTACCTCTATAAAATTTGATTGCATAGACCGAAGTGTGCCGGTGCCTTTTCCTGTTATTCTACATTGCCTCTCAGCTCCATCACCCCCACCAAGCTTTTATCTGGCGATTAGTGAATTTCTATTGAAGGAGGCACATCCCTTCAGAGAAATCCTTTACCCCATTAAACCTCACAGTGGAGATCAGCTGCGCACACACACACACACACACACACACACCTCTGCTAGACCTAACGTCTACTGATTTTACTGCTTAAAATCAGCTAATGTGTTGTTTACACATTTTATCCATATACATAGATAACCACGCTTGCTCTCACTCAAAACAAAATTACATGCCGACAACGATGCCCAGGGATAAAAGACCTTCCTACTTGAAAAATACAATAGGAATACAAAACAACAGTGGTGGTCTCCTGGTATCTTGAGACATGGGGTAGTTTTTGATATTAAATTTTCAATAAGATGCAAACAGGGAGAGCATCCTGTACCTGCAGAGATATGCTGCCATCTTTATTAACCTCAATGGAGCATGTGTTGACAATTATGTTTTTTTTCTTTTGAGAACATGTCAAGATAACCTAGCCGCCATGAAAGTTGGTCCAATTGAGGCTTTTCTGCCCTGTTCTCAAATCTAACATCCTTCACAAACCCTGGCACTCCCTCTCTGTTATATAGGCCAGGACACTTAAACAACCTGGCCAGGCCTGATGACGACATCTGAGCCAAATAAAGAACATGAGAGGAGAGAGAGACAAACACTTCACAGCCGCAGAAGTAAGTCTTCTTGAATACACATAATGTGCAGTATTTTACAGTTCCATTGCTGTTTGGTTCTGTAACTACTGACCATTTTAATGGCATGCACTACTCGATAAATTATTTTGTTTGTGTCTCTGAAAGCTAAACATTTGGTTGTGTCATTCTTGTGCTGTCATAGCGTAAATATGTACAATGGCTCTCCAGTAGGTCAGTGTCTCCATGACAAAACGGTGCACTTGTACTCTACAGTACTTGCCAAACACAGTGATTGTGCTTCTGATTCTGATTCTAAGTGGGAACCGGTCAGACAGGGAGAAGTTCACAGAATAGAGTTGGGAAGGGAACAACAAGGGGGGGGATACAATCACAGATGTCTGCTACATTCTTTCAAGGGCCTGAACTTTTAGGAAATCTATAATAAAAGAAAATGAAAAAATGTTACCCTGACTTTCTCAGTTTCAGCCTCTCTCAGCTCACCCGCCCCATCCTTCAAATACCTCAGCCCGTCCATTTTACTCAGACTCACCAAAATAGTGGTGACTATGTAAGTTCTGTTCTGGAGGCCGTAAGTGTCATTGCTGCCTCTCAGTAAGCTGGCAGTGGCCACGTACTTCTCGTCTTCGTTCCAGTAGCCAACCTAAGACAAAGACAATGTGTCACAGTATAGTTCCTGTATTTTTTAACTGCTAAAAGTGAAACTTTGGACTAAAGTGAAAGATAAAACTAAAACTGGTTCACTTTCACTCCTAATCACAGGCTTAAGACTAAAAGCTACTTATCAAATCCTTTATAACTTAAATACATTCTTAAATACACTTTAGATTTTAAAGATTTCACACAAAAACATTAAACTTTTTTTAAAATAAAATCAAGTTTGTTTTTTTCTTTCAGGAAAACCATATCCATGATGAAATTGTAAGGGCTTTAAAAATTGTTGTTGATTGGAAATGCGAATGTGATTATTGGCGTTATCAAATACTGTGTAAGAATCTAAAATGAGCCACAGGAATATTCAAATAATAAGCTTACCAGCACAATTTTTGAATAGGGTCCTTAAGCAAAAATAAATGTATTAAACTGGCTACAGGCTACAGACTTACCTTCTTGGGTCCAGAAGGCGCCAGTTCCATGATGCTAACAGTATAGTTGGTTCTGCGGCCTTTCTCGTTGAACTGAATGTGACCAGTCAATCCATCTATTCGGACCTGTAATGAAGTCACAGATACTGAATAAGACTCACCCAGCAGATGGTGAAATAACGGCTGCAATAATGACAAGATATCCATACAGGATTTATATACCCCGCTCACTTTCAATGCTTGTTAAACATAACTTGCGTGTGTTTGCACAGATTTCATTTGTAAGTCCACGCTGCGGGTGAATGACAGGCGTGTGCTTGTGCACAGGTGTACAGTGCAGTGTATTTGTCTTGGCTGCATGATGGAGTTAATTGAGTGGGGTTCAATCTCCAGTTTATCCATAAGCAGATGGTTAGACTGACGCTGAGCAAGCCTCTGCACAGCCACTCTGCAGACAGAGCCTCAGGCTGCACCACACATGCAATTACACATATGCCCTCATAAAAATAGTGTATTTATCGCGCCCTCAAACTCATTTTAGATAGGGCTCAGAATAAATAAACTACATATTTGATTTTTTAACTGTATTTTTTTAATTGGCAACTGCATTTCTAAAAGGTCTTGGGGCTTTAAATATAATAAAATAATTGTCCTTGTTTCTCAATATACGTGGCTTTGCATGAATGAGTGTTTGTATGTCCACGAGATCAAGAAGTCTCACAGCTAGTCTAGCGTTCCAATTTCTACTGCCAAATATAACATTTCTAAACTAGATTGCTTATGTCATATTCCATGATGATCACAGCTGAGTGTTATCGCCTGCAGCTTTTGTTTACTGACCACAATGTCACATTTGATACCGGAGAGCTCTCCTACGACTTAATGTGAACTTTATACAACAGAATGAGACCTAATTTGTTCAGCCAGCCCCAACTCAGGAGCTGTTAGCCAAAGTGCCACTCAAGAATTTGCATATGTGTGTATGTATGTGTGTGCATTGGCCCATGTAGGTACATGTGTACGTGTAGTGGCATGTTTCTCCATACAGTATGTGCACAGACCTGTTGCAAAGCTCTCTGTATGTCTATTCCCTGTCCCCAGGGAGCTGGTGGGTTGGCAAGACACTCTCCAGCATTGCCCCTACGAGAGATGTCTATCCTCTGCCTTCTTAAATTCTGGAAAGCTGTGGACATGACTTTCACCCCGTCATATGTTAGAGCGCCTGTGTACTGCAAAGAGAGAGACGACAGATCAAACAGAAGCAACACCAATACAAACCAATAGTAGTGTTGGCTGATGAGAGGTAAAGCATTTGGACTTAGTTTTTCTACTCTAAACACACAAATGTTTGGAGTCAGCCCTCTGTCTCAGCTGGTTGCACAGTTGTTATGGCTTAAAAGCAATAATCCTTTGATAGCAGAAATCCCAGATCTGAATCAACAAACCCAGACAGGATTAAGAGTTTTCTGTTCATCAAAGTTAATGGAAAACCTTTCATAATTTTTCATGATATGTTGCTGACAGCCACAAAAAAACTAACTGAGAGGTGAAATAACAACATTCTAGACCGAGGTAACCCTAATCTCACAAAGATAATCAATTATCAAACTCCTGAGAAAGGTGACCACCAGTGTCGGGGAAGCTGCATTGACCTTTTCAATTACTACAGCAAAATCATCCTAGGGAGAAATATAGTTCGGTTAACTGAAGATGAAGTTCAAACTACATTGTAAATAACATGATCAAAATGACAGTGTAGTTGTGATACAACATATAATACAAATAAGTCACACCAGCAAAAAATGCCACTTAACTGAGTTTATTTCTGTGTCTCAGACATAAACCCATATGTGCTTTTCACATGGACAAAACTGAATGTAGCTGCACTACCAGCAAGCTGCTGCACTTTGTGGTTAAACTGCTAGTTTAATTACACGTAGTTCACCACTCCCTAACACCGGTGACCACCATGATTCAGTTTTCATTGAACATGACAGAGGACATTAGATAAATTCTTTCAAAACAGAAAAAATCAAATTAAAGAAGAGAAGGAGAATAGACAAGAGAGTGATGGGTAAATACTTTGAGTCCACTCTTTGGCACTTTGGAGTCTTTAATGTCGAACTCCATCCACTGTTGGACAACACGGCTGACACTGGGCTCAGAGTTGTTGACCAGCTGGAAGCCGGTGATGTTCGCACCACCTTTTCTCAGGTCTGTCAGGTCGATGTCCAGGAAGCCCTGACACAGGGAGGAGCACAGGCAGAGACATGACATGCAAGAAACACCGGCAGATAAGATGATACAGTTATAAAATTATCATTTTGTTCATGTGCGCAATGTAAGATTATTGTAAACAATGCAGGAAGGAAATTAAACAAAATGCCAGTGAGTGACTGAGACCTTCCATTTAAGCAAATTAAAGAATTGTTGGAACTCCTTGCCACAGGTTAGTCCTCCAGGTGAACTTCAGTCGAGAGCCATTTAGAAGTCCACAAATAGATTATTTCTTTATACAGTAGATTCTTTCATTTGAAGGATTTGCAGAACTTTGAATGGGTCAAATTATCCAGTATTTCACAACAAAGAAAAAAACAACTGTCAGAGAAAATAACACAATTTAGTGCAACAGACATGTATTTTTGTCTATATCTTATCCCTTTCTAATCATCTCTTGACCCTTCCAATGTTTAAATCGGACCCTTTAGAAAGTCCCAGTCTCAATCCCCATGCTAGATTAGCAAAATATGAAAACAATAAATACATATGTCTGCTACACCGAGTAATAGATTTCAGACTTTCCTTTAACCTTTGCTTTTGCTTCTTCTGATTATACTTGTACAACTGTTAAAATGTGCTTGGTTTGGTCGGGTACCAGTGGGCGACTCTCGAGAATGCATTGCACTAACTGTTTTTAAGTCTCCTATTAAAAGAGCAAGGGTTAATTGCATAATGAAAATGACAAATCCTTCTTTTTCACTTAGAGAGGTTATTCCATTGTGCAGACTCAATCCCCATTTTTCCCAGGGGACAAGACTGGTGAAAAAGAAAATAGAAAACTTCATTTCATGGCAGGAGCAGTCTGCAGCTAATCTCTGATAGACTGAGTCCTCATAGGCTACTGTTAACAATGGTGAGATCAAAACCACACTGTGAACAATGCAAGGGATGCCTCAGGCAGAATAGAATGGAGAAAAAGGTGATTTACTGTAATGGTATCTCCAACTTGTATTTTTCCCTTGACTATTATGTGGAGAAGGCTGGCTAGAGAGGGAGAAAGGCAGCAGAGTGGGAGAGCTAGTTTCGGTCTCTCAGCAGGCTGCCTGTCAGCGTGGGGAGAGGAAGAGGCAGATAAGTGGGAACGGGTGGGAGCAGAGACAGAGCAGGAGAGGGGGAGAGAAGATTTGTCTCTGATTTGTCTAAGATTCAAGAGCAAAGTTCTGACTGATAAGAGGAGATGATGCCTTAAAGCCTGCTCGCCAGGCATCCGTTTGACAACACGCACCTTTGTATGCCATCTCTTTCTTTTCTTCAGCTAGTGTTGGCCATATGCCTGTCTAAAATTCTCTCTTGTTTACATTCTCTGATCTTCATATTCGTACAACAAAGACCAGCGAAGTCAAATAGAAGTGGCTGTCTGTTAAGTTCAAAATGTCTCATGCCCTTTATGTTTTGGGGAAGGTCAGCGTGGTAGGCAAGCTTCAGGAGACAAATGCAGGCAAAGATTTGTGGCAGTATTCAGTCTGCCCTTCCTCTCCTCTCACCACTGTCTCCCTAATGTACCCGTGTGTATTGTCAGGTGTCCATATTTCTCGGCTGAACAGACAGAGTTGCCTTTTTTCTGCTCCATGTATGAGCTAATGCAGTGCACCGAGCTGAAGAGGTTACTATAGAAACTAGCCTTTGCTAACACTGGATATGGAGGCGGGTATTTCCAACAGACATTTTAACCACTTTTAAGTATTTACTCAAATGTTACCCTGTGTCTGTTACACACACACACACACACACACACACACAGCTGCACACCTGAACATGAGTAAGTAAATTAACAAAATTCTGAAAAGATGCAAGGACATAGAAAAAGACATTTTGTGCACAAACCTTTTAACAGGCCCATTATTTAATGACTGCAGCTACTTTGTTTATAAGCTGCTATTACTGTCCAAGCCTTATCATTTAAAATTAAATCTGGCAAAACTGGCTAGACAAGAGAGACTGAGTCAGTCTAAATCCCCGGTAGTGAGAAATTGTCCAAGTCAGCAGCTGCATATTAATGCTGTTATCACAACAGTCTCTCTTGATGTCAATTTGCTCTTCATTTGGTTGCTTTTAGTGAGTCTTAACAGTGCTGTAGGGGTCTACATGCCATTTGCACAGAGAAAATGGCAGCAGACAAAGAGAAGTAATGGATATAAAGTTGCATACATTTCCTGCCTAACCCTTTTCTGTCATGATGAGTCTGTAGAGATTTCTGTCTCTGCCTGTCATAGGTTTCCCACTTGAGCTTTACTGTAAATATATGACCTTGGTGCTGTTATTGTCTGCAGGTTTGACAGTGCAGTGAAAGAATATATTATGTAGCTGAAGAGGAAAATAGAATGAGAGAACATAAAAGACATAAAACCAGATAGTTGGAGGCAAAATTATTAGGCATATGCAAGTCTATTAAATTGGTAATAAAGTATTGAAAGACATGGGATCCTGTTAAAAGCTACACTGATCAGCAGTGCAAATTCACTTGAGACACAGTATAAAAATATGTAGAGAAATATTTGTAAAGAAAGAACGTTTAGAACTATAGACGTAGTGATATAATCAGTCCTTACCAGGTTAGCCAGGATGTAGTGATAGCTCTTTGCATTCTTGCCTTGTTCAACAATCTGGAAGCAAATAACAGAGGAGAAAAAGCAAATAAAATGCCGGTGACACAAACAGGTTAGGTCGTTTACATTTGTATGTGCAGCTAAGAGAGCGAGGAGATGGTTCTGATAGGGTGTCAGCAGTACACTGTGCCTGGTGCAGTGTACAGTACTTGACCTTGTGCAGGACAGAAAGTTTACAGGAAATTAGTACAAGGGGACTGAAGGCTGAACACCCTTAGAAAAGGAGGACTAAACTCACAAACATCAGCTTTGGTCTGTGTTTAATGGGCCAACATATTCACGGATTTCCAACTTCATATCATAAAAGTCAGCAGAGTAGCTTAGATAAAATGAAAGTTCTGAATTTAGATAGAAATAACAATGATTAAAATACCCTCTCATCTCCTTTCTTTTGCTGATTTTTCTGTACTGCAGGGCTGTTTTTGCCAAGACATCCACTCCATAGGCAGAGCCAAGGGGGATCAATGAATAAACTATTAAAAACAACGACAAATTGTTGCCTTAAATATGACTAACATTTTCCTGGCTTTTTATAATTGGTCAAATTAGTTTTATTTTATATCATACGTGCAGCATGATATTTGCATTCATATCTCTGATTGTGTTGTTGTGGAGTACTTGGCATGATTCACCTCAGTGGGAGGAACCACTGTGCAGCAGCATTGTTCCCGGCCAAGAGTAAATAAGAAGCGCAGCCAAAGTTAGCTGAAGAAAGCACCGTGTGTGTCTCACTGTCACACAGAAGAAACAATTTGATTCTTAATAATGTACGGTTTATTATTTCGTAGAATTAGGAGCTTAATTTACATTTTACATGGATTCAAAATGTGCCAACCCTTTCTCGGTCTGTGTCCCAGCCTGGCCACCCTGTCCAAAATTTTCCAGATCTGCTTCTGTACCGCTCCCATGAAAACAACAACATTTCATCTACCACACACCAACTCACTACTGATTCAAATATGAAAGAAACTTACAATGTGTTACAAATCATAAGCAACCAGCCTAAGATGGCCATTAAATATCAAAGGATTCTATCATTACAAAATATTACCCCCCCCCATGCTCTTTCCTCTATTTTCAATATTCTCCCTTGTGAACATTTAATGCTTGATGTTATATTTATATAAATGTAATACCTTCAAATTAACTGTTGACAAGCCAGTCTCCCATGCCTGCCATATATCTGTTTCCTGTCTGCACTGCTGTCATCCTGTAACTGCGTGTGGTCAGTGAAACACTGAGGGTCAGGGCCGTTTGAACATCGCGGTGAGAGGTGTCTAGTGTGGTGCCAGAACTGCTTGATTTATACATGAAATGTGCACAATGGACACAACTTTGACTGACATTTAAAAATAAGAAAAAAAAAAAGCTGGTGGTGCTCAAGGTGAATCTCTAGCTTGCCTGTGCCTACTGTAAGTAAAGAGGCTGCTGTACTGTACAGCTAATTTATGAGTGAATACTGTATGTGTCACGACACCATATTGGGCAGTAACATAGAATAAAGCAGAGCGGGCAGCACTAATGCACCAAGCATCATTCAATTAGCAGCCTTTGCACAGAGGATTAAAAAGCTCACTTCACTGTCTCTTTTCAGGCACTATACATATAACTCCTCATTGTGAGCATTTTCTGTTGTATACACTTTTTGGAGTGTACTCATTTGCTTTTGTGTTGTGTGGGTATATGTCTAATGATGCTGTAGGTCATGACAGAAGGTGGCATTTGTTATTAATGGTGACCCCAGTACAAGGCAGACTCTGTGGTCAAGCCTGGGGCAAGGAAAAACTAGAGGCAAGAAGGGCAGACACACCGATACACCAGAGGTCGGGGAAAAACACACATTTCTGCCACAGTGGCGTGTCAGTTCAAAATATTTTGGTTGTGAGTGGCTCTTTAATTACACATGTAGATTTGAGGAGTCATTCAGAGTTCAGCCTCAAGAGAACGGGTCACTTTCTGTCTTTCTGTAGGAAAACACACTGTGAAACATTTTTGAGGTTGCTCTTTTGTCACAATAAATGTTCTCAGAGGACACAACAACATACAGCTCGAACAAGAAGTCGCCCTCAGGATGTCGTCGGTGACATTATCATAGAAGAATCTGTGTATTGCTATGTAATGAACAAGATTAACACAGGAGGGAGTTTAAAGGGCAAACATGTTGCGTGTGTGTGCATTCATATGTGTTTGCCATTGTTTGTGTGCACAGTCTGGGGAGCATGGCGGCAGGGAGCAGATGTGGGTGATTGATGGTGGTTGTCTGAATGTAGAACTTCTCAGGCCCAGCTCCAGTAAGCTGGTAAGAACTGATGCAATAACCTTAAGTGTAGACATTAGGCCATCAATAACGTTCAGCCATAGTCTACACATACTGATGGGGATTGTCTGTGTGTGTGTGTGTGTGTGCGTGTGTGCTTTCTGTACTGAAAACAAACTGTTACAAGCTGACAAAAAATGATAAAATCATACAATATCAACAGGCATAACAAATACAGATAGAAAAAATGTGTGGATATTTCCAGTTAATGACATTCACACATATACTGTACATGTGTGAAAGTCACTAAATGACTACCACCCTTGATATGTCTGCCAAGCTTTCTGTTCTCGCTCCGCACATACAGTATGCAGTTTACAAGACACTTTTTTATTGCAGACTTTTTGGCATGTCGTAACAGGAAAAGCACAGGTGAAATTAATAACAGCAATACGGACCTAGCAGTTTTACAGCTTGGTCACTTACGAAACAATGGGTGCTTGATTTCAGACTGATGTAAAAACAGCTTCCAGGGCAGCGGCCGCTGATATTTCTGGCTAACATGACAGATTTTATCAGCTGTAGCTAGTCAGTTATGCTAATGTTAGTGCCACAAGTTTGCTGAAAGAGCAGTCTGGTTTACTTTTGGATGTTTCAAGGTAACCTGCCCCAAATCAACATCCATCTTATACAGTATGCACATTTGATAGCTATATACATGATATCATGCTACTGTAAATTTCTGGAACTTTTGTTATTGCATTTTTATTTTCAGAAATGCTACCCCATCCCCACCCCCCCCCAAAAAACGACACCACCATCCAACCTATTTAAAAGCAGTGTATAATGCTAATTAGGGCCACATGCAGCCCACACCTCTTCAACATGCAGTGAAATCCTAAGCTTGACAGACCTGCCCTAGTTACAGTTGCTAAGCTATGACTGGCCAATCTTTGTTTATCAGAGGGAGTTAGCAAAAAGTCAACTGTATTGCCAAGAGGTGCGTAAGTGATGATCCTATCACAGAAAAAATTGCCTGCCACAAATGCCAATGCCATGTTATTTGTCTTTTCTGTGTGTGAAGCTCCAGGAGACTAAACAGCAGAGCAGACCAACAACGAACCCCTATTTTCTGTCGCCTCATTTTTGTTTCTGCCTGCTTCTCTCCTTTGTTCATCTGATTAAAACATGCACAGCCTTGTTTTTAATTGCATGTCTTTAAATTCAATATACAGTATTTTTATTAAAGGGTTATTTAAACTTGACATGTAGGCTAAAATGTAAAAGCTCATCCTTGCATGATTTGGACTTAATGCAGTGCATACAATGTGGTTTTATTGCATTACGAGGTTGCAGTTTTTAAAATAAAATCGCAATAAAATGTAGATTCCAATATCGTTACAAAATCTTGTCGGTGTAAAAACAGAGAAAAGCTTTATACCTTTTTAAGGATGCCAGTGAGCCTCTCAGTCTCACAGTCGATGATGATCTGACCCTCCTTTCTCTTGTCCAAATCCTGGAACACTTTCAAGAAAGAGGCCTCCGTCATTGTCTCCACATTAACTGAGGTCACCAGCCAGTTCTTCTCAGCTGCAGTGTCCAGTACCTTCTGCAGTACTGACAGGCCTGCACAGAAGAATGGAAAGAGATGAAGCTTTCTGGGCCGAAATGTGTGTGTGTGTGGGCACTGATAGCAAAAATTTCACAATGAAGATGAATGAAGTGATGGTATTCATCTACGTGAGAGCAATCCGTGAATATTTATATCTTATTAGGCAGCACAAACAAGAGATAAAATATGTGCAGGTTAATCCTATGTAATGTGTAGTTAAATTATGATCTGAAAGAAAAACTAAAACAATGTGAAAAGTAAACAGAAACTGTAAAGAAAATCAGCTTGTTCTTGATAACCATTTCCATCAGAATCTCCCCTGTAGCTTCAGTGATAAAGTGCAACGAGTGGGACAGTCTATTTAGCACACTGATGTGTACAGGCGTGGTTTTCTAGCTCGTACGGCACTGGGCTAACTAATCACTATTTTCACACTAATAAATAATCAGCCCATACATCATTGGAGATGATACACTCACAGCGAGTTTTGCATCCTCCATACACCAATTACAGGTGGTGCTATTCAATTACACCATGACCAATATATTGCTGAGATGCATCATAGAGGAAAAGGCAGAGCAGCCATTGAGCTAGAGACTTATGCTAAGACAGGAAATAAAAGGCGATTAGAGAACACATTGATCTTGAGCTCTGATTTACAATCTGACTCACTGGTGTACTCCTTTGCTGCTGGCGGTAGACCAATCAGATTCCTCTTGAGCTGGCAGCCACAGTTGTTCCATAGAGTAAATAAAGTAATTTCACCCGCAGCAAACTGGCAGCCATTACCCAAATGAATTATAGCAATTACAAAATTTAGAAATGTAAACTGATATATGATGTAGCTGCATTTGTTTTTCTTCTACTAAGATGGCCACCATGGGCCTATACACAATGTGGTTCGCATATAGGCATTGTATGCACATTGAGCAAATTTAAAATGCCTTAACCTGTTGTGGATAAGGCATTTTAAGTTGCAACAATGACAACAACAATAGAGACCCTGTCAAAAAAGAATGAGAAATGCAGTCACAGCCTCTGAAAGATGATTGCCTGGCTTTATTAGAATGCACACCAGCTGCTCTCCAGGATATTCAAGCTGCCAATGTGACACCAGGTCATTAAGGCATAAAAAGATTGATGGCATTTCACCTCCACATATGACCACAATACAGTACATCATAAATTTGACAACTAAAAAAAAAAAAAAATGCAAGGATGCTGAATAGAAATGATACACAGGGGTTATTAAAGCATTAAAGGGGAGGATATGTGGGAACATCTGGAGCTTTTCATGGTGCATCTTTTCCTTCACTGTTGCTCACGAGTGAATAATTGGTGCTGATAGGTTTAATAGTAGCTGTGAAAGCAATGGCAGGCTTGGGAACACAGGAAACAGGTCATCCTGGTTGTGAATAAGGTCAGTGGGTCATAAGAAGACTGAACAAGAAAGGGGTCGAGTTCTGTGCTGGTGAAAGGTTTCAGCACCTCGGACAGCAACACACAACATAAAAGGATTCTGCATCCCACAGAAGCAGGTCACTCGTTTTTATCTTTACACTCCTGTGCTCCTTCTCTCTTAAATGATCTTTTTTCACGGCTGACATCATTATGTGATTATCTATTTGTTCATCTGCCTTTGCATTATGTACATTGCGATCCAGCACTTGAGTGTGCAGCTGAGCAGCAGTCAAAACATGCTAAAGTTAGAGCTTGAATCTCATTAATCTTTAGCGTCAAGAATGTTCTGTATTATAAGGCATTAGAGAGAAACCTGGTGTCATCTTCCTTCATTGTTATCAAAGTAGCTGAACTACTGCAGTTATTATATCTTTGAATCTTCCATCTATTCATCATTCTTCCCCCTGCTTCCCTCCTTTTTTGTCTCACTACATTTGCACTGAATATCCTTCTCATCTCTTTAAATGTAGCTATGCTCCTGATGCTCCCCTATAAATCAGAGTCAGTCTGACAGGCAGACTCATAAGGCTAGCCAAGGTAAAAATGGCCCTCCAAAGGCATCCTGGAAGAGAATAATATCATAATGGAATCTGGCTGTTATAAGCAGCCTTTTGGCAAGAGGCAATACACAGAGAATGGCACAAAAGGCAAATGCTTAAGGAAGCCATTTCCTGAATAGTGTTTATGATAGGTTTAATGGGCTATCAAATTTGCTTTAGTAGATTAGTAGATGGGGTTTCATGAGACAGCAAGACAGATGTTAACTGAAGAAAGGGAAAAAATACTCCTGAGATGGCAGGAAAAAGATAATGCTGTATGTGTATGTCCTTGTTCACTTCAGATAATGGACTAAAACACTATGAAATAGATATGGGTCCGCTTTGGGTCCACTTCTATTTATTATATCTTTCCTTCCCCTTGGGACTATTTTTCAACAATATGCAATGTATTTTCATTGTTACACCCAAATTTACATTTTGACAAAACCCAACTCTGCTACTTTCACCCTCTGCTACTTCACCAACTATCTCCAGGCCACACACCTCTGGATGTCTGACAACTTTCTCAAACTCAAGCATAATAAAAGTGTGATCATCCTTACTGGGACAAAGACAACACTTTTTAAAATGCATCCCTTAAATATTTATGTTACTGTCCAGCTCCCATTTCCTCTACTGGGGGTGTTATAGTGGACTTTCCTTTAGACCTCACATCAGCAATGTCTCATGAAATGCCTGTTTCCATCTAATATATTCAGACTTCGCCCTATCCTCTCATATCATAGTGCTTGAATTCTGAATACTGTACATGCTCTGTAAACATCTCAAACTGACTACTGCAACATCATCCTCTGTGATAATATCAATAAACTGCTTCATCAGCTTCAAATTATACAAAAATCTGCTGCAAGATTCATTACCTGCATCAAGCAGACTGACCACATCACCACCAGCTTCATTGCCTCCCTGTCTATCAACTGATTCACTATGAGTCTACTACGTACCTTCAAAGCCCCCTGCCCCCATATCTTTCCGACCTTCTCCATCCTCACAGCCCTCCTTGTTCCTCCTCTGTTACTTTGCTGCCCGTCCCTGATTTTAGACTTAGTACCAGTACAATGGATGTCAAAGCCTTCAGCTGCTCTGCACCAAAACTCTGGAATTCACTGCTGCTACAGGTTCACAAGCTGGGTTCTATTACAATACAGTTAAAAACACATCAGTTTAAATTAGCATATTCATCATAATGCAACTATATTCATGTTATTCCATTCATCCATTTTATTCTCAGTTTTAACTTTGCCATTTTATAATGCTGTCTTTTAATTTGTTGTTGTTGTTTGTTTTGTGAAGTGTCCTCGGGAGCTTTAAAGCACTTTGGGCAGGACAAGAGTTTAAAAAGTAAAGGAAGATACTTAATCATGATTAAATATTCAGAAGACGCACACACAGACACACATATACTGTGTGGGCACTAACGCACACATGCCAGACAAATTCCTCACAATAAGTATATTTCTTAAAGGCTTAAAATAACCCTGTAGGAATGGTGACTGCAACATAGTATCCAGGCAACAGAGGACTACTGATATGGATTGCACTGGCTCCATCCCACATTTCAATCACACAAGGGTGACCCCCCCCCACACACACACATGCACACAGTGCCCAACAGTATGTGAGTAGATAACAAAGAGATCAGAGAAAAAAAAAGCTGTGGGACATGTGTGGTGCTACGGCTGTCGTGCATCAATATAGCTAGAGACCACTGTGAAATTGCCCCTGTCAACTCTCAATAGGCTTTGCAGAGTGATATGATGTCATCTGTCTTTTAAGGCCTTCTTATTTTTCTCACATGTCAAAAACATTAGCAGACAGAAGTTACAATAAGCCCTCATACTGTATGCATGCAAATCAGCATCTGAAAAAGTGCACATGAAGAGTGCATGGTTTTAGGGACACACATGTACAAAATGCACCCATCACAGTCATGCTCCAAAACCCACAACACCTGGGACAGATGGCATGGCAGTATGGGAAGTGTACAGCTGAGTAGCTAAAGAGGTGAGGAAGAGGAGGAAACAGGAGGCAGACTGGTGCACTACTTTATTTCTGTCTGTGTCTGCAAAAGTGTTATTAAGTTGCTGAAATTGAATGTTACAGCACTTTTTGTGTTGTTTTTTTTTTTCTTCTTCTTTTGTTGGCATGCTACTGGCAAACAGGTTGTTCCAACACAATGGAAAGCTTAATCATTTATTCCATTTTGTGATGTATCTGTTAATCAGTGCAAGTCAGTGTTTTTTCTCTGTGTTCTTTGTCTCTACAAAGATGGTGGTCTAAAGTAAATTTTCTGATAGCTGCTCTTTACTGCACAATGGCTACGGACGACCTTGTTGATTTTGCCATGGCATAATGAAGACGACTAGTTGTGGATGGCTTAATGACTTGTTCTACTTTTGTGCATGTAGTGAAACTACACATTTTCTTTATTGGGGCTTTTGTGAATTTACATAAAATGTTGGCACTCACATGATGGAAATAGAAGAATAAAAATATCCATTATGAAATTACTACAGTTATGATGTAAAACAAATAAAGCCTAAATAGATTTTTTTTTGTTTCCTACCTGAGTCAGAACTGTACATGTAGACAAATTTATTCCATCCATAGTGATCAATCACTCCCACCAGAGCGTCCTGGAGCTCAGGCCTCAGCTGGATCACAAACTGATTGGCCGTTTCAATGGGGAAGGACGGCGTAACGAAGCAGACGTGCAGCGCTCCACAGAAGGACATCAGCATGTTGACTGTCTTCCTGTCATACAGGCCAATAATGGCATACACGCCTTTGGAGAACTGGGAGCAAACTGTGACAGAGAAAAAAGAGAAAACACAGAGAGGGAGGATAAGAGGTGTTTATCTCTAAACTTTTCTAGTTTTCAGGTTATAAAATACTTGTATTAAACATGATAAAAATTTCAAATACAAATTAAATATATCTGAGTGATCAATAGTGCACATTGTTTCCAGCCTCAATCTATGAACTAGACACCTGTTACTTTGGTGCACAGCAAATTTTATACAAAAACTATTAAATCTAATATGAACTGTAAAATTCCCAGCACTGAAATATTAGGATTAACATATGTAACTGCACAAGTAATTTCATACACTGCACAACAGTCAAGAAAATGTTAATCTGATTATCTGTACTGTCTTGTCCCTTATATAAACCTACATTCTGTGTCGGCTTGTACTTTAAATTATGTCCTATAAATGCATGGGAGTCAAACATGTATTAAATTAAATTATTAGTCAAACAAATAGTCTGTCACTTTTATACCCAGGTGTACAAAAGCTATCTCTGGTGTGAAAACATGACACAAATATCCTGAAAATCGTTCAGAATATCAGCCTTTCAATTGCAAACTTTTATAAAAAGCTGGCCACTTGGTCCATCTGTATACCACCAGTTTGTGTGCGTTTGTGAGAGGAGGACGTGAAGGTAGATTAGAAGTAGAGAGGTTAATCAATGCATCCCCAGGGTTCCATTGGCATTTTGCTGGCAGCAGGAGCCAGTTTCTTTCTCACATTTGCTTTTCTCCCTCAGCCTCTCAGTTTTAATTTTACCCCTTGTCGTCTGTCACTTTGAGTTCCTTCACGCCCTCGGATATCTTAAAATGGCTCATTTATGTTCACAGTCTTCTCTCTGGAAGGTATATCCGCTCTGTGTTTTCAGCATGGCGTGCTATCTTTGTGCTATCAGGTCTAGCCCGGGCTATTTTCTGCCATGGCGATGGGTGGGCCTTACTTATCTCAGTATTTGCCAAACAGATTGAAGTCGCTGCCTGTCCCCTCACAAGGGCCAGCTCACTGCTAGGAGCCCTGGGAAAGACAGAGAGAGAATGGCCCATATCCAAAACGCCTAACCTGTCACAGACCTGCACCCTCCAGGCAGGTGTGTGTGTGTGTTTCTATGTGTGACAAGAAAAAGAGTGAGAAAAGGAGAGAGAAAGAAAAACTCTATGGAATCATGCACATAAAAAAGTGCACACACACACACAATGCACGCATATAAAGCCTCTAGTGCCCCAAAAACCTGGTAACTCACCCTACTTAAAGCAAGCCCTGAAATAGACTTTTTGCGCCTCGCCACACTGACTCAATAATAGAACTATCTTTCCTACAAGCTCTGCTAATAAATGGACACTCTCTCAGCTATTGCTTTCAACCAGCACCCATAATTTCCCCTTACAATTTTCCAGGACCAATTTTGGAGCAGGCCTCCATGTTCTGCCTGGATAAAAGGTAATGAGAGCTTGTTTGACTTTTTGTACAGTGTCCCATTACTTTGCCCTACAGCAGGTTACCATGTTTCACTGAAGATGAGTCATTTCTCATACCTACACTATGTCTGTCTGACAAAAAAAAAAAAAAAAACATGCAGCCATGCAGCACAGACCTCCTCCTCTGAGCTGGCAAGCAAACCATGTGCTCGTCTAATTCAACATGAGCGTAACGAAGAACATTAATGTAACTCAGCAGTCTCAGTTCAGAAAACAGCATAGAGGAGCAGCATACTGAGTGCTTGTTTGAGAGCGACCTGTTACCGCTGCTCCACATGTGTAACAACACTGGAAGCAGGGCTGATACACCTAAAGTGATCTTGAAGACCCCAGCAACACCTGTCCACCCTGGCACTCCGTGTCTCCTCACCATAGCTACAGCTGTCCTGACGGCAGGACTGAGGTTGCCAGGGCAACAGTCTGTTTTTCTGGCAGGGATTGCTTTAGCTTAGAGCTGCTACAGGACTTCTGGGAGGCGCAGTGGGAATTGTTTGGACATTTTGTCATTATTAGGTTTCCCCTCTCAAGGAATTAGCAAACTTGCAAAACTGACTCAGTATTTCAGAATCCTTAGATATACTCTGAAATAACAGAAGATTTGAAACATATGTCTACTGCATCACATTTTAGTTAAACAAAAAACAAATCACTATTTCCAAAAGACAACAAAATCCTTTGGCATATGCATACAGATACAGGATCGCTGTCTTCTGGCTTGAAATATTTACAAATGCTAGAATTTTGCTACGAATGAACAACAAGGTAATTTAACCTCTGTACGGCCACAGAGGTTTGGGCTGCAGGAAAGGTGTGAAGAACCTTAAATCTTAAAGGGACTGATGCTAGCACAACAGGAGGAGCTGTCAGAAGCAACTCATCCAGTTACTATACTGTTTCCCCCGTTCTCTGTTTCCTATGCCCTGCAGCTGTTCCTGTGCTTAGCATGAGACAAATACCAAATGACAGACGCGTCTGTGCTGGCTGCACAAAGAGGCTGTATACTGTATGTGACAGTTGTTTCTGGATCTGAAGTTATGGATGATGGGCTGGCGGCTAGAGGGCAACGTGGCAGCTTTCGTACTTTAAACGTGAATGTTTAAAGCCTGAATATGAAGAAGGGTTTTTATATGACAGGCTTATTTTTCTGCTTGAACCTTATTTGACAGATGTTCAGAGTTAAAATAAATCTAACCCATATAATGTTTGGTGTGTCAAAGAATCAGCACAGTTCAATCATAGTGTTCTGAGGGCACAACATTTCTCACATGTTTTCTTATGTGTGACATGTGTGAAAGTAGGGAAGGTCTTTGCCGCATGTTGACTCAGTAAACACACACACACACATATATATATATATACACAAAGAAGGAGCACCAGGTTTCTACGAGTTTCCTCCCCTAGGACTTGCATGCTAGCAGCAAGCAGTACAGAGGGAATTTCACAGTAGCAGGGAGCAGGATTCAGCTGGAGGAAGCATACTGATTAGACGGTTCTTGATCAGCCACCCATAAAGGTGTTTTTTAAATATAGACCCACTCTGAGCGAGCCCACGGAATAGGTTGTTGGATTAGGTTGCTCATCTTCTGTACTACAGTTCTCTGTTCCATTTATTTTATGGTGAAACTTCAGAGAAATCTGTTTCCCTACCATATGAAGAATTTCTTGAGAAAAAAACTCTCACAATCTACTACACCCCAATGTATTTGACTGATTTTTTTATTTTTATTTTTTTAAACTCTCCAATAGCCATAAACATTTAAATTGCCATCAGAGGAAAACAGCAAATCCTCACACCTGAGAAACTGGTACGAGGGAATGTTTAGTATTTTTAACTTGCTAGTGGCATGTCTCCGATCAGCTGGTCAGTCAACCACTTTGGCCCAGACTGAAACATATCTAATATAATATCAGATAGATAGCCACACACTGTGTAGAAACATTCATGAAGCAAACTGACTGCAGTAGCTGGATCTCACTTATCCTAACCCTTGAGCAGAAATGAAATTTAAAAAAGGAGCTTTTGTATGGCAAGTTCAGCTTCAAAGCCCAGCCAGATGGTTCTCTGGACAAGACCAAAGTTGTTTGTGCGTTGAGACTCAAATACCACTTGCTAGCCAAGCACACAGCTGATGCAGAGAGCCCTCCTCTCTCTCGCCAAAGGCTGACCACATCAGATAGTTTGCAACGGAGACACCTGGATCAATCTACAAGCAATAAGCTTTAAACAGTGATAGCTAAATGGTGGCTGCAACTTGCAACATTGTAGAGGACAAGGGCCTGCTTGAAATGATTCGCATCACATCCAAAGACTGCATGTATAAACTGACTTTGAGAGCCACCACTGTAACCAAGATACAAAACTTGTATGAAGACTACAAAGGTAAAGTAGAGGAGACACTGGGACAGACAAGCACGGTTGTGCTCACCAGAGACGACTGGACTTCTCTCAGTAATCACGCTACCTCAAGGGCCCTTTAAGGTACATTGAGAACAAATTTTTTTTTTAAGTGTGATTAATTTGCAATTAATCCTGAGTTAACTATGCACACTCAAGCAATTAATCGCAATTAAATATTTTAATTGATTGACAGCACTAATTATTACATTAACTATTACAAGTACCTGATGGGCCTGGGGGTTAAGGCACCAACTGTGAACCTGAAGCCTGGTCAAGGACTTTTGTTGCATGCCATATTTATGTTCTGTAATAAAGGCATAAACTGTCCCCAAAATAATCAAGTATGAACACAAGTATTCATTTGGAATGGAACACTTCCTTTTCTTTGGTAAAAGATAAAAGAATTACAGGGGCAGGGAGGTTGCTGTCACATCAGTCAATAATACACACCACCTCCACAAGGGTGAAGGGTCACTCAATCAACCACAGAGTACTTTGAGGGAATATAAACCTCTCTGACACCAGACACTGCAAGATGCACACAATGATCCTCCACTCCGTCACCCATGGCTAATAACTGTCAGATGATGTGTGCAATAAAAACAGAAAGCACATCGTGGTCCCACTGGTTCCATCCATCTTCCGAAGTGCTGATCAGCCATGTTAATGAGAGGCTGAGCAAAAGACATCAATACACGACTCACACAGGTTCACATGTATATTCAGGTGCTGCTCAGGGTGCACACACTTGATGTGCCCATCAAGAACCTACCTCCTTCAAAACACCCCTCTCAATTAAGAAAAAGAAAGAAGAAGAAAAAAAGCCTCACTGGTTTTGACAAGAGCGAGTCTCACACACAACTTGTGCTTGTGAAGAATGCCTCAGGTGATGGGTGGGGGAGGCCTCCAACACAGCATGACTCACACAGTGCAATCCATCTCTTTTTGTGCAGAGGACAGGTACCCAGGGGACCAAAGCACAGTACCAGTGTTTTTCCAGTCAAGACCGAGGAGAAGGCTTTTACAGCGAGAGCAGTTTTCCCTGGGATCTCCTGCAAATGTCTTGAAATATATTGACAAAAATACCAACCAGTGCCAATCAAAATACTTCAAATACAATTTT